TAATGCAGTGGACCAGCATTCTATGCTTTCACATGCTTTCTATGCCACGTCACCAAAAATTTAAATTTCTGGAACTTTTTTGTGAATGCCTTTCTGTACGAGAAGCATTATTCATTCAAAATTGGTTCTTGTGCTGCTTCTCATCTCTGAGTACACAAGTATATTGACGATAAATACTAGGATGAATTGGTCCAAATACTGATGGAACACTCGGTTCATTAGGTCCATAGATACTATTGGAACATTGATCAAACTAAAAGGCATGACAATGAAGTCATAAGGCCCGTAATGAGTCTTAAAATCAGTTTTTGGTATATCATTTACCCTGATTTTCAGTTGATGATACCCTGACCGCAAGTTGATCTCAGAATACACTTTTGTACCCCTCAGCTAATCGAATAAATCTTATATTCTTGGAAGTAGATATCTATTTTTTATGGTCAGATGATTCTATTCTTGATAGTATACATCCTTATAGTCTCATCCTTCTTTGTTATTACAGGAGTGCCGCATGGAGATACATTCGGTCGAATGAAATATTTATCTATCAATTCCTTCAGTTCTAACTTCAATTCTTGAAGTTCGGTTGGTACCATTCTATATGGGGCCTCGAATATTGATGCCGCTTCGAGAACCAAGTCAATCATAAATTCCACCGGCCTATTTGGTGGAATGTCGAGAAGGTCTTCTGGGAGTACATCCACAAAATCTTGCACAATGTTTATAATCAAATTGCTATCAAAAGTTCTATTAGAATTTAAACAGCAGGGCACGTAATTGTGTATAACAATCAGCACTTGATTTTATTTGATAAAACATTCACCAAGTAGTAACCATAAAATGATAAATGAATTATTTAACCACAATATTTCTTAGTTACAGTAAAAATTTATACATCACCTAACTTATATAAATTTAGCCCTCAAAACACACACAATGGGATGGGTAAGTTGATATTCCAAGTCTAAAAACATCATTACAATTTACATTATCCAGTTCTCATGCAAAAATTCGAGGATATAAAAAGTGCAATAATAAATTGTTTAATCGGAATTGTTTTGATTAGTACGATAAGTATAAACTCTACCGTTTAGACCACCACTGCCATAATTTCATATTTCATACTCCTTGTCAGTGTAGAAACTGTCAATTTTACCTGCACCATATTCATTAACTTGTCCTAATTTGGTAGATAACTGATACAACTCTATTCACAAAAAAATGGAATTAATAATCAAATTTGTCAGTCTCCCATAAAAATGATCAGTGACGTGAACTCCATTTTTAATCACCCACTTTCTGTACTTCCAAAATCTAGATTTATATGAAAAAATCATGAATAATGTCATTTTATTCACATCATAGCCATCAAACATCGTAACCAAATAAATTGTGTGGCTTATCCCTAAATAAAAGTCGATATATTAATAAAATTACAGTAAGTGCTGAAATAAAGTCTTTGGCCATGTTACATTTAAGTTGATTTATTAAGTCCAATGAATTCAAACACAACGACTATACCTTATCACCCATCAACCAATGATGCCTTCAAATCTATGAGTAGTAGGGAAAAATGGCGAGTATGTAGAAATACTCAATAGGACACAAGTAATTGAGCAATTTCGAATAAAAATATCAATTTATGCATCAAAATAATCATACCGTCATATTATATCTTTATAAATGGATAAGGGCTTATAATATATTATATCTTTTGTACTGAATGACCACATTATAAAATATCATATCATTTCGTTAGCATACCATTTATCAACATGAAATAATAAAATTAAATGGGCCAAAATCACTCGCACCTCGTTGTCCTAACTTGCCAGATCAGCTTTTTGAAAGGCAAAATCCAAAATCACGTTCCCAATCTTTATTTTTTATTTATGCTGCTCACGCAGTCGTCTATGTATATCTATATTTTCTAGGGTAAATAATGAGAACTTTTGCATGGTACTTAAAGTGAAAAAAAATAATTGACTTTCTAGTAGAATAAAATCACAAGGTGCCATGTAACATGCAATTGGTCTAGTCCAAAATGTACTACATCATTATCTCATACAATCAAAAATCTATTTTATTTCTGTCCAACCATACAGTGGTAGCCAACTCCTTTTAGTCCCAGTTTGACCTCAATTAAATTAAATTTTTTTTCACTCCTATTTTCAATCACACAATCTTCCATAAAATAATATTAAACGTAAATCGAAAACTTTTTCTTTTTTTTTAACCACTCATTCTTCAAAAAAATACCATTCCACCCATTTTAATTTGAAAAAATGGAGGGCCAAACAGGGGCTTAAACTCAAAATTTAATTCAATGAAAAAACTAATTAATGATATCTTTCTAGACTACAATATCTTGGATCTAACTTATACGAATTAACTTTTTCTCGAGTTGAGAATTTCTAATTAATTGCAAGCTACAAAAAAAAGCCCAATGTTGATAGACTATAACCCACTCTATCAAAATCTAATTATTTGACCCGATAAATATAAGAATTTAAATCATATTTCGCTTTCGCCCTTCAACTTTCAAAAAATATATATCATAGCATAAAAAACAATTAATTCTACTCTATAAAATTTTCAGGGCTTTACAGAATGAGCCAGTAACAGCACCTCAACCCCATTTGCATCAGCAACGAAGCGGAAATCGCAATGGTCCAGAAGAAGACCTGCATGGAAGGTTGACTATGAGGTAACAAGAGCTAACCAATCTGAAGACCTACTCATTGACTTTGCCTCGTTTTCGAATTGTGATCCTATAAGCTTTGATACTATCAAACAATCAAAACGGAGGAAATAAATGGACGAAGAAATTCCGTACAAAGAAACAAAACTTGGGAACTAATTGAACTCCCAAGTAGACATAAAATTATTGATTTGAAATGTGTGTTCAAAACAAGGATGAAAGAGAATGGAGAGGTGAAAAAGTACAAAAAAATGATTGATTGCAAAAGAATACAAGCAAGAATTTGCTATAGACTATAAAGAAATATTCTCTCATATTGCAAGACATGATACAATTAAAATGGTGATTGCTCTAGCAGCACAAAATTCATTGCCCCACCTTTCAAGTAGATGTCAAATCAGCCTTCTTGCATGTAAACTTGGAGGAGCAGTGATAAGTGTATTTTATACGCTTATTCAAAATTTTAAACGATGATATTTAGTTGCTTCTCGAATTAATTATGGTCTAAATTATTATTTTGTGTTGAATCGGTAAAATTCAATGACGGTACAAGGAATTGAAAGAAGAAGCAAAAGTGGGCAAAATTAATGAAAATAGCTAAGTTGTAAGAGATCCAAAGTTCGGGGTCTAAAGTGCAAATGCTCCAAAATTGTGTCAAACCCCATGATGAAGACTCAAGAGTGCTCAGAGTCAATTGGATGAAGAAAGATGTCAAAGGGATCAAATTTGGGCAAAATATAATTATAAATAAAATTCCGACCGAAAAGTTATGTTCCGGAATTTCAGTCTCATGCTGTGACCCATTTTTGACATAGCAAATGATCAAATTGGAGAACGATATCTGGAGCAAAGTTATACTTTTTTGAGTTAGCTCTCCTAAACAACTTGAATCACCTCAATTGGACATTGAGAGAGAGTTATGATAAAAATACTAAATGAGGTGCTGTCTGTTCGAAAAGTAGCGCCAGAGAGGTGGTGCCGCGGCGCTACAGCGCCACCACTTATTCTTGATGCAGTGCTGTGACATCGCATCCCAGGCATTGTGGCGCCACCAATCCATAACCTAAGCGGAATTTCGGCCCACTTTGGAGTCCTGATGAAAACCCTACCTTTTACACACGGCAAGGCACATATAAAAGCAATTTTTCTTAGACTTGATGGGGGTTCCACATATTGAGAGGCTAGAGAATACAATTGGGGAGTCAAAGGAGAAAATCAAAGGGAGAAAGCAGCGACAAATACATCGTGCAAAGAATAATTGGAAGGGAAAGAGGATCTTGGTGCAAGATTGACTTCTTATTCTACATTCTTATTCAAAACCTGGTGATGTCTTCCATAATAATGTCTTGTTTTTCTTTTATTATTATGAGTAGTTAATCTAATTTTAGGGCAAACAATATAACTAATTTGAGAACCTTTATTTCCTTTATTTGAGATTCTTATTCGTAATAATTAAATGTGTGGATTTTAATCATATTCTCATTGCTTTGAATTTTTTGGCCAATTATTCAATGATTTCGTGAACAATAATTGCATAGAGATGTGGATTATTGTTTATACCACATATTAAAATCCGATAAATTAATATAATGTATAGAGATATATATATTAATTGCCGCGGTCATAAATGAATTCTTAGAACTATTACTGCGTTTAACTAAATTTGATTCGCATAGAGATATGGAACTAAAGTAGTTAAACAAGCTCAATTAGAACTCCAAAGGGGTAAATTGAATATAATAGAAGAATTCGACCAAACACTACTTTAGATTTTATGAATCTTGATATTAGAAGTAAAGATGACCAATAGGTGAAGTTGTTCCACCCTAACATCCATTTATTGTTTGAATTTCAAATAACTTTTTGTTGCATCCATTCACAGTTTAAGTAGTTAGATCAAAAATCACAACAAATCACCGTTTTTGTTTATTAGAGAAAAAAAGAAATTAAATACTAAAGTATATTCCTCGAGGGAATGATAATTCAGACTCATAGGTCTACTTTATTACTTGTTACGATTTATACACTTACGAGATAAAATTGATAACAAGTTTTTGACGCCGTTGCCGGAGATTATTATTTTTAGTCTTAATTTATTTTATTTTTAATTGTTATTTGATTTGTTTATTTTTCTTTATTTACAGAAAACTGTGTTCACTGTCCCAAGATGACAATTTTGAATCGTTTGATTCGAAAATAAAACGTACCTTCAAACGAAAAGCAAAGAACGCAAACAAAAACAGCAACATCAAATGATTGACAATCAACAAATCCCCATCCTTATTCAACGATTGGACAAATGGACTCAAGAGTGATGGCACCACCAGAACAGCAGTATGAGCGAGGAGAAATAAATGAAGGAGATTTGCCAGTATCAATGTTCCTGACACTTATGGCAGCACATATGCGCTCCAGTATCGTGTATCCAGATTTTGGGGTGAATAACATTTAGATCAAACTAGATTGGATTAACTTGATGAGCAACACTTTCCAATTCTATGGCTTTCCTCATGAAAACCCGAACACACATATCTCCAGATTTCTCAGAAACTGTCAGAACTTTCATACTTTGGGGATTAATGAAGATGCTATTAAACTACGATTATTTCCATTCATATCGAGAGATGTGGTATTGGAGTGGTTAGATGCGGAGCCTCATGGGAGCATTACTACATTGGAAGAACTGACTAGAAAATTTCGCAACAAATTCTTCCCATCAGCCAGAGTAGCTAAAATCATATTGAAAATTCAACTTTTCAATAGAAATAGGGAAAAAGCTATCACGAGGCATGGAATGATGAGATAATATTGAGGGTGGAGGACAAGCGAGAGATATTCAATAACTACACCTAATATGAGTAAACCTCTAACATCAAAAGTTGCTGTGGAGTAGATGAAGAAGAGCCACCTGACTTCTTGGTAGGGATAAATATGGAAATATCAAAATATGGAAAGTCAAGAAAGGATGCATAAACGAGAGCTGTACAAAGTGCAATGATGAAATAATTTGGTTCGAGCCACCATGATAAATCAGCGGCACAAGTCAAGATTTTTTTTTTTTTTTTTTTTTTTTGTTTTCAATGTTCTAAGATAGTTTGATTTATAGTTTATTCAGAAATCATCACTCATACCCCTTCTACCCATAGGTCTTGGAGTAATTAAGTTGATTATTAGATATTTGAGCTAAGTATCCCTTGTTCCATAGATTAATTTTTTAAATTTAATTTTTCAGGAACATGACGTCGAGGAACACTCAAACCAACATAGATATGGAGAAAATGGGACAAATCTCAACTTTGGGAGAGAATGTGGAAGAAGAGTCGATCAAATGCAACACCAAGACACCATAACATCATAGGCAATACTGACATTTCAAGGAAGTCCTCTTCCTTTTCTTTTAAATTTAACATTGATGACAATGTTTAGTTTAAGTTTGGGGGAGTGTATTATTATTAATTGCCTGGCTGAAATTTTTTTGAGATGGACATTTTGGCTTACAATTACATTTTACTTTGAGATTTGGTTTTGATTTATGAACAGTGGATGGAATGCAAGATAGATTGATTAAAGCTTAACCTTGCAAAACTCGATATTATACATGCACCAGAATTGAGTTTGACACTGTGATGAAACGAGTTGATTCATTTGTTATTGATTTAATTGGACATAGATGTTTTCCTAAACCAAAGTAAATTATTTATTCTTAGACCAAAATTAGCACAGTTTGGGATGACTTTACAGTTATAGAAAGATACGAATATGAGTTTGGATTCTATGTGTGAATTGTCTTATACTAACATGAAAAAACGAGGTGAGAATCTTAAGTTGAAGGTCAGTTTGTTTGAATAAGTTTGTGAAAGGGGCATTGCACTAATCAAGATATATATTAGAAATCTAAAAACTTCTCTTTGAAGTCTTCATGACTCGAATTAAGCCTACAAGGGTATCTTAAAATTTTGTGCCCTAAAGTCGTCTGACTTTAGAGTTATCAGCCTAAAACTCGTTACAGGGGTCATTTAGAAGGCAATCAAAGATGAATATGCACTTGAAATAAAAATTGGTTATCTTCGAAGCCTTTTAGACTTGGGTCAATAAGCCTGTAAGTGTGTTTAAAATTTGGAGTCCTAAAATCATCTAATTTGGGAGTCATCGGCCTAAAGCCTGCTACATGGGTGATTTAGAAAGCTTAATGGAGAGAATGCAAAAAAATAATAATAATAAATAAATATAGAACTTGTGAAAAATAAAAAAAACAAGTGCATGAAAAAAACAAAAGCACTAAATACCTTAGTTAAGCCCTAACACTTATTTGATGGAATTTAACTTTCGATGAAAGATAATTAGCTAGTTGAGTCGTGACGGTCAAAGCAATCAAATAATTGGTGCAACTAGTAACGTCCACTTGAACTCAAGGGTGTGAGGATAGTAATGAAATATTCAACCATGTGTTACACACTGAGAATGAGTGAAAAAGTGTAAGTTTAGAGGTGTGTTAATCTTACGAGAAATGTAAGGTATATTTGACCACAGAGGGTTGAGAATTGAAACAATTTGTGTAGTCATGGTTGATTTCTTAATTCTTCACACACACACGTCGATTTTGCACTGGAAGAGTAGATATTGATTCGGTATTGTGACTCTGAAGCATGTTTGTGGAATAAATATCAAAATCTCGAATCCTGAGATAAAAAACTTGATTGTCCAGCTTATTATCCCTTGCATGATTGTGCGTTGGTAGTTATTTGGATTATGATTTTGTTTGAGGACAAACAAATGTTTAAGTTTTGGGGTTTTGATAAGTGTATTTTATACATTAATCAAAGCTTTAAAATGATGATATTTAGTTACTTTTCGAATGAATTATAGTCGAAATTATTACATTTTGTGCTGAATATGTAAAATTCAATTACGGTACAAGGAATAAGCAAAAGTGGGTAAAATTGGAGAAAATAGCTATGTTGTAAGAGATCGAAAGTTCGGGGACTAAAGTGAAAATACTCAAAAGTTGTGTCAGACTTCATGATGAAGATTCAAGAGTGCTCAAAGTCAATTGGATGAAGAAAGATGTCAAAGGCATCAAATTTATGCAAAATATGGTCATAAATAAATTTCCAAAATAAAAGTTTTGCTCCGAAATTTCAGTCTCATCTTGAGACCCATTTTTGACATAGCAAACAATCGAATTAGAGAATGATGTCTGAAGTAAATTTGTAGCCCTTTGAGTTACTTTCTAACACAACTTGAATCGCTTCAATCGGATATTGGGAGAGAAAGTTATAACAAAAATACTGAAGGAAATGCTGTCTATCCAAAAAGTGACACCGTGACGCTGTAAGAATCAGAAAGTGGCGCCGCGGCTCCCCCGCTTATTCTTGACGCAGCGCCACACAGGTGTTGCGGCGCCACCAATCTATAACCTAAGTGGAATTTTGGCTTACTTTGGAGTCTTGATGAAAATCCTGCCTTCTACACACGGCAAGACACATATAAAAAACATTTTTTTTAAGACTTGAGAGGGGTTCCACACATTGAGAAGCTAGAGAATACAATTGCGTAGTCAAAGGAGAAAATCAAAGGAAAACAGTGACAAATTCATCGTGCAAAGCAATAATTGGAAGGGGAAGAAGATCTTGGTGCAAGATTGATTTATTATTCTACATTCTTATTCAAAACCCGGTGATGTCTTCAATAATAACTTCTTGTTTTTCTTTCATTAGTATGAGTAGCTAATCTAATTTTAGGCGCAACAATGTAACTGATTTAGGAACCTTTATTTCTTTTATTTGAGATTCTTGTTCATTATAATTACATGTGTGGATTTTAATCATATTCTCAATGCTTTGAATTTTCTAGCCAATTATTCAATGATTTCGTGAACAATAACTGCGGTCATACATGAATTCTTAGAACTATTAGTGCGTTTAACTAAATTTGATTCACATAGAGATGTGTAATTGAAGTAGTTAAATAGGTTCAATGAGAACTCAAGAGAGGTAAATTAAATACAATAGAAGAATTTGATCGAATACTATTTTAGATTTTATAAATCTCGATATTAGAAGTAAAGGTGACCAATAGGTGAAGTTGTTTCGCCTTAACATCCATTTATTGTTTGAATTTGAAATCACTTTTTGTTGCATTCATTCACATTTTAAGTAGTTAAATAAAAAATCACAACCAATCATTGTTTTTGTTTATTTTCATCAAATACTGGTTAAAGAAAATTGAATTAAGTACTAAAGTATAGTCCTCGAGGGAACGATAATCCGGACTCATAGCTCTACTTTACTACTTGTTATGATCCGTACACTTGTGGAATAAAATCGACAAGAAGTAGGTATTTATTGACCAACCCCATAGTCATGTCAAAATTGGTGATTAGCATAAAGTGTATAAATTGAAAAAGGTACTGTATGGACTAAAAGCAAGCTCCACGCAGGTTTGGTATGATAGAATTGACGCCTTTTCTTAAAGGAATGATTTCAAAAATGTCCTTATTAATATAACCTTCTAATAAGAAAAGATGCTTGTGTTTTGTTTATATGTTGAAGAGATAATCTATATCCGGAACGTTAATATCTTGTTTGACAAATTCAAATAGTTTATAATGATTGAGTTTGAGATGACCGATCTTTATATGATGCATTGTTTTCTTGCATAAAAGTGAATCAATCAACTCTTGTATCTTTATTTCTCAGAAAAAAATATGTACAAGAAAATTTTGATAGGTTTTTCGAATGAAAAGATTGCAATCCTGTCATCACACTAACAATTATAGGCACAAAGAATGATAAAGATCGTAAAGGAAGAAAGATCAACAACACACTCTACAAGCCAATTATAGAAAGTCTAGTGTATTTAATAGTAATAAAGCCTGATAATATGCATGCTCATCAGTCTTATCAACGGATACATGAAATGTCCAACAAAACTTCATTCCTTGGTTGCAAAATATATTATTAGATACTTATAAGGTACATGTGACTTTGGACTTTTCTACAAGTATAAAGAAACATCATATTTGTGTCGCTTCACAGATAGTGATTATGCCAGAGATCATAATGATATAAAGAAATCTTCAAGATATATATTTATGATGGGAACAAAAGTTGTTTTATGGTCTTCAGAGAAACATGCTATTGTTACTTGTCAACAATTGAAGCAGAATTTGTAGCCGCAACAGTCTGTGCTTGTCAAGCAATTTGGTTGAGAAAGATTCTTGAATGCCTGTATTTCAAGCAAGAGGAAGCTGCGACAATTTATTGTGACAATGGTTCAACAATCAAGCTATCAAAAAATATAGTTTTACATGGATGAAGCAAACACATAGATGGAAGATATCATTTCCTAAGAGTTCTCACAAAGGAAGGAGTGATCTCGTCTACTATAGGAGCGAAGATCAAATTGCTGATATTTTCACAAAGCCTCTTAAGTCAT